TTTACATCTTCGATCACTTTGTCAATTCTTTTCGTTTGATTCGTGATAACGCCACGAATTTTTTTCTTTACTTTCATCAATAAGTTTTTCTACAACTGTCTGTGACGTATCCATTTTGTCCCTTATGGCATGTAATGCGTTGTCAATATAATGTTTATTAATCGCGTCAGTGTCGAGTTCTGGATTGGCTAAATTTTGTATTTTCTTTTTTTTCGCGTTATAATAAAAATCCGCATCTAAATTGAGCATATTATCACGAACGTATGATCGCAGAGAATATAATTTGCCGCGAATTTCACTCTCACTGTTGCTATTATCGTGTTTTTCCAGAGAAGTGCCGAATTTATTCACTGACATTCCGATATGCGTGTGTGTGTGTGTGTATCCTTACGTATCGTCTAATTGACAATAAATCCAACTTCACGGAGCTCCTCGATTATCGATAAGATCTCGTTGTCATGCGCATTGTTGCCGGCTCTACACGATGCGTCAAAGNGCCGGCTCTACGCGATGCGTCGAGTAATCTGAAACGCTCCACCAATTCGTTTGGATCATCCCAATAAATACATTCAATTTTATTGTCAGTTAATTTCATTGTCGATTGAATCGGTAATACATTTGATAATTTCATTGTTGATCGAATCGGTAATATATTCGATGAATTAACGATATTCGTTATTCGTCTACCCATTCCTATGTGTTTTATCAGTGGTGCGATAATGTGTTTATATTTATATCCTTTATTACCTATAATTGGCATAAGAGCTTTGTGTTCGCGTCTGTGGATGTTCGTTGTCAAAATTATATTTTATATTGTTGCTTATCGTTATCTGTAAAGATCGAATCATCGGGGAGTCATTTGAATAATAATTCATATAGACCTGGTGTTCCCGCGTATTCAGTACCATTTAAAGTAATGGAATCATCTTGATTTATATTGAATTGCTTATCACCGAGCATCAGGTTTCTTTTATTGTTGATATATACACCGTAAACATAATCGATATCACGATCACCACTGAGAAGACTTGTTATATACCGTTATCCTAATGGGCCTAGATGATCGACAGATATTTCACGACTTTGTTGCAATAATACATTCTTTTTTTCCTCCTCTTCCTCCTCTGTATCTATTTCCGGAATAACATCGCGAGATTCCGTCAAGGTCGTATTCGTCTTTAGTCGTTCTCTTCCACTCAGGTCAGTATGTTGAGGTTCTGTTGACGATTCGTGCAACGATGATGATGCGACATTTAATCGTTTTCTTTTTTTCATCGAATATGCAGAAATCGGTGTGGTGAATATATCATCATCGTTATCACTATCATTATTGTCTTTTTTTTTCACCATCACTGTTAATTGTATTGTTTGAAATAATATTCGGTTTGGTTTGTTCGACAATGCGTTTTAATGGTTCGACAATCGGTTTATATGTTTCTTCCAATGTAATATCCTCCTCTCTGATACCGCTTTTTAACATTCTATGTTTCTTAGGAATCACCTTGCGTGTTTTAGCAATTTGTTTTATAGTATCTTCTCTTTTCTGAAGATTATTTTTCGATTTGACACTATTTAAGTTTTCCATATTATTGTTTCACACGTCACAAAAAAATCACAAAATATCTTTTTCTCTTTCATCACAGCACGGCAAAATCGTTGAAACCTCTTCTATATCGACCGTTTCGTAACGCACAATCTTTATTTGTGACAAATCCGTATTTACTTTGCCAACATTCACGACACAAGTCGCAAAATTGCTCGTATGACATATCGGTGTTCACGTGATCATTATATATATGTTTCATGTTGGTACCATCTTGTCGAAATAGTAATAGTAAATTCGCATTGTTGCGTATCAAATGCTTCGGTATTTTAGTATATATTTGACATAGATAAAAACAATCAACGCTCGAATGTCGACCCATAGCAAAATATTCTCTGATTGTGTCCTACTTATCACAGATTACATCATCGAAGACGAATAACGAATCGGGTAGTACCTTGCTTGGTAATATGACGTCACGATTATCGCAGAACGCATGATATCCAATTTCATCTATCGAATTGAATAATTTTTCATACTGATATTTCGGTTGATGCAATGATTTCGCATATATATAAATATTTTCGAAACGCAAACCGTACGGACTTTCTAGTAAACTTATCAAAGCGTTCGTTTTACCGCAATTGGAAGGGCCACAGATGATGCAACGTATCGAATTTGGTAATAAAGAACCATGTCTACTCATATTTTGAATCATCACATTTGGTAATAATCGTATCTTATGATTGAGATTCGGCACACCTATTGTTTGTTGTTGTCGTACGAATCTCATATTGTGCGGCGCATGCGCCTACTTCTATCGTTCTTTCTCTTTCTCTTTATCTATTTTATGTCTTTCCACACACACACACACACACATACACAATGGTGGAATAGATTAAATATGTGCTACTATTTATACGCGATTGAATCGCGCGCAGCGATCAGAATCGAGTGAGTTATTTCGCATAAGAGTTCGTCGCGCGCGTATGGGTAACAGAATGGTTTTCTTTTTACTCACAAACAAAGAGGCTATCGTGACATTGGACGCTGAACAATTGGAATACATTCCGAAGATCGTTCTATTGCGTGAATTTCTATTTTTGTAGAAGAATTATGGGACAAACTTCCGTTTCACATTAAAGCGGATCCCGAGGTGCAACAATATCGCGTATGTATGAAATATTACAATCGTCCATGGGGTAAAACTCATATAGATGGGCCACCACCGTCTCGTCGAAATTGTACTGAATGTCATGGAAGGTCGCATCAGACGACTGATTGTTCGATGGAGCGATAAGTAATGTTTCAAATTACACATCATACCATTCTATAAAATCTGTGTATTCGATGCTCATTTACATGATAAAAAAGAAACAAACGATTGACGCGCGCACGGTGNACGACTGATTGTTCGATAGAGCGATAAGTAATGTTTCAAATTACACATCATACCATTCTATAAAATCTGTGTATTCGATGCTCATTTACATGATAAAAAAGAAACAAACGATTGACGCGCGCAAGGTGAGTAAGATAAGAATTTCCATTGAACGTTGTGTGTGCGCGCATCGTGATCGCGAAATCTTTCATTCGCAAAAATGACAGACTCAACGATTACTGCTGCTGCTGCTGCTGCTGCTTGTAAACGAATATTCATTCCGTTTTTTGTTTTTAAAGCGACGATAGATTTGTCGCTGTTGTTGTATGGGCAATCATGAGAGCAAAAACAAAAATGGGTGTGAAAAAGAAGAGGAAAAATACAAGAAAGAGAATAGTTCCGATAGCAAAACGTGGCGGCTCATTACCTCTATTACCGATACTCGGTGTGCTCGGTTCAATGATCGGTGGTGTCGCTGGTGTAGCAAAAGCCGTAAACGATCGAAAAGTTGCTCTTCGTCAGTTGGAAGAATTACAACGTCATAATCGTGCGATGGAAGTACGTGGACTTTATTTGGCGCCATATAAACGCGGCAGCGAATGCGTCGGAAAGAAGAGTGTTAGAAAAAAAAATTTTCATGGAATAAAACGTTAATCGC